ATTTATATACCACATTGCCAACTTGTTCCAAAAGTAGCCAATATTTGCAATATGTGGCCAACTTATTGGTCAAGTTTTCAATCTACCACTTACCTACAAATCCTTAAAAAGTCGTATCTATGTCTATAAAGCTTCTAAGAAGCTTCTTCATTTGATATTATCAAATTTATTTACTTCTATCTAACTCTTTTTATCTAAATAAATACTAATATTAATATATATATTTGTAACAAATATTCATTCAAAAATAATGATAAAATTAAAATTAAAATTACTATTAACAAAGATAAAAATACTAAGGACTCTTGAAATAAGACTAAGACTAAAAAAAGTATTGGCAAGAATGAGAAAGACCTCACTCTTATCTCCATATATACTATCTAATTAAATGATTACATTATGACATTCTATTAGTAAGTTTCTAATATGTGCACCATATAGTCAATTTATAAAAAAAGTGGTCAATATGCACAACATATAGCTAACTTGTTGGCCATGTTTTTAATCTATTAATTTCCTACAAATACTTATAAAGTAAAATCCACATTTATCAAGCTTCTAAAAACTTTTCGATAAGATATTATTAAATTTATTTATTTTTATTATTTATTTTATTTTATTTTGATAATTTTTAGTGTCAATATGTATGTCCTTGACACTAGTGCATTCTCAAGCTAATTTTCACATAACACAACAATGCTAACAAACTTTGATACAAGAAGGCCAATTTTTTTTATGATGGTTGGAAAATGATCCAAGTAATTATCACATCATCTTTATATATATATATATATATATATATATATACATGTTTATATATATATATATGTGTATGTATAATTCCAACCAAAAAATAAACATGTAATTATATAAGATATCTATTTTATCATCATATTATGAATAAGTATATATTTAAGTATATAACACTTTTAGAGAAATTTAAATACATATCTGGAATTAAAAATTGCTTAATGCATCCATTGCTCTATTTAAAATTTTCAAGAATTCTTCAAAAATTAAAGTTGAAAATCCAAAGCCTAACTCAAAATAATCATTTTTGATAAACTAAGAACTTGTAGATAAATTTATTTACTCCATTGAAATTATAGATCCCACAAGTGAAGGAGGGAGAGAGAAGGGAGGAGGGATATAGGAGAATATTAAGTTGGAACCAAAAAATGAAAAGATCAAAAAATTGGACACATCCATGTAATTTTAAATCTTAAATCTTAAATTTTAAACCTTGGTAAGAAAATAAAAATAAAAGAATAAATAGATATACTTTTAATAATTATTTTATCTTTTAAATGATATAAAAAATGTGATTCTAATTTATTTTAAGTAAGTTATGAGGATTTAAATAAAATAAGTAAAAAATTAAAAAATTAAAAAAATAAATTTTAACTTAAAATAACTTACTATGGATGTCTAAGATTTAAACTTTTTTAAGCCTCACAAAATGGTGTATAAGATATCTTAGAGGAGACAAAAATCTTTAGTCTCATTTTCTTACATATATTAAAAGTGCTATAATCTATATATGATATATGCACAACTTTTTTTACAACTACTAGTTTCTTGTCACTATGATTTTTTATACTTTTGATTCCTCCATGGTGTTGAAATACTAAAAATTAGTAAAATTACCTTACAAAGCCTTCAAATTTTATTCCAATTATTTTTTATAGTCTCTTAAGATAGTAAAATTACTGTTATTAAAGTCTTAAAAACATGTCTTGAAAATTTTTAAAGGCTTTTAAAAGATTCTAGAAATTTTCATAATATTTCTAACAACTAACATAAATTCAAGTTTTTTATTTTATTTTATTTTATTTTATTTTACCTCAATGACTTTCTATTGAAATTAAATCACTTTGAATTAACCAAAAAATCTAAATTTTTACATAAATTAAAAATAAATTATGAAGTTTATTTATTATTCTTTTTTTACATACTAGCTAATATTTATAATATTTTAATAGATAATAAAAATAAGTGGAAAAATATGTAAGAATTTTTTTAATAACTAAATAAAAATTATTATTTTTAAGAAAAATATACTAAACTATCTAAGATAATTACCTCTAAGACTTATTAAGACTCTAATTTAATGACTTTTTACTTAATAATATCTTTTAAACTCATAAGATCTTTTAAATTCTAATAAACACTTACATCATCAAATAAACTTCATAATATTATTATTTATATATCCAAAAAAAATAATTTTTTTAAACAATTCCAAAAATTAAGATGCAATGATAGGACTCACAATAGGTCAAGTCAAAATTTAAAAATAAAAATGTCAAAAAAATTAGGCATACCCATATAATCCAAAATTCAAAATTTCCAAACTACATATTTCAAAAGTCAAAATCTTAAAATTAAAGTGAAAGTGGCTATATCTTTTAAATAAAAGATCTTCTAAAGTAAAATATTGGAATAAAAAACCTTATAAATAATAAGATACATTAATTATAAATTAAAAATTAAGATATCTAAAAATATAAATATCTATTTAATTTCGACTTATAAATTATAAATATTAAATTATAAAATTTTAATTTATTTTAGAAACTAAAAAAGTAAAATAATTTAAATATGAGATTATAATAATTCTTTTGTATATGTTTTGTTGGTGTAATCTAAATATAATTCTTCTAAAATTAATATTTTTTATATTATATTATTTTAAATATATCTTATTTAGACTTGATTTTATATTTTTTTTATTAACTTATGAGTGTACTATCTTTTGATTTTTAACCTATTTTTAAAGGTATATTTTTAAAAATACATTGACCATTTATTTTTTCATAATAATATCAAAGTAATTTAAGCTATAAGATTATTCATTTCATTTGGCAATGATGTTAAGTTTTTGAATTCTTTTATATCAAAGATAGACAAAGATGCCAGATTGATCAATTCATTTAATTATGATGTTAAGATTATGCATTTTTTTATTCTAAAAATAATCAAAGATTTGATGTTTTTCAACTCATTTGGAAATAATGCCAAGCTTTTGTACTCACTTATATCTAAAGTAGTCAAAGATGTGAGTTTTTTCAATTCATTTAGCAATGATGTTATGCTTGAGTAGTCACTTATTTCTAACATATTGAAAGATGTCAAGTTGTCTAATTTACTTAAAAATAATGTCAAGCTTGAGTACCCACTTATATCAAAAGAAGTCAAAGATGCTAAGTTGCTTAATTTATTTAGAAATAATTTCAAGCTTTAATAGTTACATATATCAAAGATAGTAAGAAATTTAAAATTACTTAATTCATTTGGAAATATTGTTAAGCTTAATTACCTCCACATATTTAAGATAGTCAAAGATTTGAGGTTGTCCAATTTATTTGGCAAAAATGCCAAAGTTATGCACATCCACATATTTAAAATAATTAAAGATATGAGATTTTTTAATTCATTTAGTAATAATGTCAAGCTTTTGTACTATTTTATATCTAAAATAATTAAAGTTATAAGTTTATCTAATTCTTTTGGAAATGACGTCAAACTTGACTTCTTTCTTGTTCTTAAAATAGTCAAAGATAAAAGGTTGTTTAATTCATTTGGCAATGATGTTATGTTTTTGTATATATATCAAAAGTAGTAAAAGATGCCAAATTATACAATTCATTTGACAATGATGTCAAGATTAAAAATTTGCTCATTCTAAAAATATTCAAAGATTTGATGTTGTCTAATTCATTTAGAAATGATATCAATGTGTAATCAATGTGCTACTATTGCTAGCAAATTTGTCATCCATAGGCACAACACCTTCAATTTTACTTTAATTCTTTATATTGTCAAAGACCAAGATTGTTTTGTTCTCCATCTAGAATGATTATAATACTTCTTGAGCTTCTTTTATATCATTTTTAAAAAAAATTGACTTTAAATTGTTCTAAAATATTGCAAAAATTTGTATAGTAATCACCACCACTTTCAATGCCCTCAACAAAGTGTGAGATAATTTATATGTCTTTTACACCAATTAATATAGCCTTTACTATTGTCATCTTATCTATTCCATCCATTCCAATAAGATATAATGCCTTCACTTTATTTGATTTTTACATTTTACATTTTTATCTTATTTAAGATAAAAATTGTCATCTATCAAATATTTCTTCTTTAAGTAAATCAACCTGCAATTGGAAATTCAACCACAAATCAACAAAATAAATTAGAATGATGAATATATTATATTTTAATCTAATCTTACTAACATGAGTTCATATCAAGGCATCTAAATATCATTATAATATAAAAGAGTGTGTGAAAATATAAAATATAGTTAATATATTTAATTTATTAGATACTTACTTTAGTTTTTAGTACAAGTCTTATCAATGGCAATCTATTATGTATTTGTTGAAATTCTATGTTTTGATGACAATGGTTTTTTTATGCTTCAAAATATGGTGCATTTGCCACATCAATTCTAACTATAAAAATAAATAAATAAATAAATCTTTAGTATGTTTAATCTTTCACAAATATTTGCAAACTTTGGCCAATGCAAAAGATTGAATCTCAAACACTCTTGGACAAGTTCAATCAAGTCATCACAATTTAAAGGTAAGTTTGGTTTGTCACCTTTTTCAATTCATTGTAATATCTCTTTCATCTCATAAACATCATTAAATAGACCATTTTTTTGAAAAAATCTTAGAACATATCATTCCAAATGAATAAACATCTGCTTGAAAAAAGACATATTGTTGTTGTTTGAAATTTGATTTTCAATACATCGGTTTTAAATAGTACCATAAAGATCTTGATTCTTTGTAGTTTCTAAATTGCTTTCAACTTCAATCTTAGATTTTCCAAGATCAATCAGTTCATAGTAGCATGTCAAATAATCTCATTTATAATTTTTGTCTCAGTAATATTAACCAAAATATTGTAAGGCAATTGCTCTTCTTGCAACATGTCTAAAGCTTTCGGAACTTGCCCTGTTATCCTCTTCCCGTCAAACAACAGCAGATATTGCTGGAGGGTGCCATGCAGCGAGAGCGCGCTACTCCCTGAAGCATGTAAAATTGCAGCCAAGCTCCTTCGCTCGACTCCGCTGTATCCACCGCCCTTTGCAGAAAAATAGAATCTGTGCATAGAGATCCACACTCCATACACTCACATTATCACCCACGTCCAGAGATTCATAACCACAACTAAACATAACTTCGCAGAATTGGGTCCTACTTTGTGCAGTCCTTTATGAGCACCTAATGCCGAATAGATGAAAACCAAGAAATAGGCGCTGCGACGAATGGTTCCTCATGAGGAATTAAATGGAGAAGGAGGGAATAATCATGCAAATTGGTGTAGCAGATTCAAGTTTTCTTAAGATTAACTTAGTCTACTTTGTATAGTAACGAAGCACCGCTGCTTGTGCACAGCGATGGGAAGTAGTAAGAACAGATCGGTTGAGACCGGAAGGACAAGTGAAGAGTTTGCAATTTAAGGTAAGTAAGGTACACCTCGGATAGCAATCACAGCTCAATCTATTGGTTTATAGGTGGGCAAACTAGGGAGTAATGACACCATACCTCAAATTGTGCGTGCAATCCTCGTATTACAACTACGGAGTTGTTATTTTAATAGATCCGATGACATGAGTGAGAAGGTTTCGTATCAGTTCACAAAACTGTAACCCTAATCACTCCTGAAGCTCGGAATGAATTTGCGTGTACAGGTATGGCTACACAGTTTCGCTCTCTTAAAGCTGTAGTTGTATCCCCTGATTTCTTCCTGCCTGTTCTTAAGCTACTCCTGATTCGAGTTATGAGTATGGATGCATTTTTGGTTGAGATGTAAATAATCAACCCTGACGTTACAAGGTATGGAGAAAGAGAGGAGATACGTAGTGAATTCGCCGCCACTACATGGATGTGTAGGTCCGCATGTAGACAGTTGCCATTCTATAATTGCTGTCAATTGATAAGTCGGCACCATTCTAGGTAATTCACTTGTAGGCTATTCTACAAGTTTTGAATCTTCCTTGCATTTGGAATTTCATTGTGCTGGACTTCAAGTTTTTTGTGTATCGATGTTTCTGGATCTTTTCTGGGAAATAGGGTGATGGTCGATGGTCAATGGAAAGACAAAAGTGTAGATAAGGTGAGATGCAGTATGGGCGTGTCACGGTTTCTGTGACTTTTGAGGTTCTCGTCGTTTGTGATATCATGTTCAGTTTACCACATGGTTTTGAATTCAAAGACCTTTATGTTGTTGGTGTGTGTATAGATCATCCTCACCTTCAAATGTCGCAGGGCGCCAGAAAGGTTAAGCAGTAGTCTGTTTTCAAGAGCACATTTGTAAATGACAAGAATAGTCTTTGAAGTTCAAATTTCGGCTACACTTGTGTGAAATCGTTAGGGTTGCAAGCTCTTAAATTGCTTATGGTTAATGTGTATATAGGTTATCCCATTTATGGTATCCAGTTTGAGGAGTGAGTCGTCGAATATCATAGTTATTCTCTGACCGTTTTACTTGGTAGGTTCAATCATAAGAATCTACAAGTCATGTTATAATTAGGTGCCCCTCCATTTCTTAGCACGAGACTCCGTAGCTAATGCATAAGATGATAGAGAATGTTGTTTCTAGGATTTGTGTTGTCTTGCTGCCAGGTCTAGAGATGATTTGAACAAGGTGTTATTGACGATTGAAGACTAATCTCTGTCAAGGGGTCGATTTGAAGCTCTTGAACTGCCTTTAAATCGTCAGTAGTTTTTCTTAGTTTGGATAGTTATTCTTCTGTTCAGCTTGTTTTTTAAGTTCCTGAGTGTGTTACATTACAGACGCTGTTATGCATGTGTAGCATATGAGTGTTAATCATGATTCATTTTTGAAGAAAACAGGTACTAATTACAAGACAGTAGCAGGTGAAAGCTCTAATTGTGTTCAGGACAATCTGAGGAAATTGGGGATGTTCAAAGCTAATATTAGTGAGATCTTTATAACTGTCGAAAATTACCAAAAAGTAGGCACCTTGCAGGTAACATATTGTATTCTTTGCTGCTCTCCTTTGGAAAAGCATATTGACGTTCCTCTCATAGTGGTGTTGTGCCATTGAATTTATTCTCATTTTCATGGTTTATGACTGAATGGAAATGAATATAAATATGATTACATCACAGCGATACTTTATTGATTTTTTGTTTTTTGATTTTTTCAACAAAAATTCCTGGAGATGTGCTGGCCATCGATGCAGATGCTATCTTGTTCATGTTCTTGGATGCTGATATCGTCCTTAGTTTATAACTTCCTCTTGTGTTCTTCGCAGTTGCATGCATCGAAGTTTGCGTAAAGGAAAAGTTCGAAATGTTATAAATTCAACTGAGAGGCGCTGGCCCACTGCACTGCAGATCATCGACAAGGTACGTATCACTTGATATAACTCCAAGTGGTGTACTCTGGTCGCTTATTTGACAGGCTCTATCATGACGTTCTTTTAAGCAGTCGATCGTCTTGAACTTTCCTATTTCATCTCGTGTTTCTCTTTACAATGAATACAATGACGATAAATACTAGGAAAATCAAGTATGCAGTCTGAACTTTTAGAACCGTATGTGGATAAGACACCTGGGGTTCTGACCTGAGTTGATTAAATGACTGTTACCAAAACCCAGGGTTGAAACTTTTGAATGCTGGACCACAGCGAATACAACAATGAGTTCTCAACATGGGCAGAGACCAATTGAAATGAACACTGAACTATTGATTAACATTTAAGTACTGAAGCCCAAAAATCCAGCCGTGTCTATATTAGATATGGTTGGTATGTTGGTACAGAATTTTTGCCTGGTATGGCCCAGACTTATTGCAAGCTTTACTACTCATTTGATTCAATTCGAGTCGTTCAATGCAAGTGGATAGAAACATGACACAAGATGAGCAGTTTGCATAGTCGATGTACATCACAAAACTATTGTGTGGGCATTGCAAGAACTATTACTTATTATCTGCATGGTGTCAGAATGTTTGGACATATCTAGAAGAAGAAGCAACCAAGTGTAGGAAAAAAAGGACCATGGAAGCCTGTGCCCTCGTATCCAAAGGTTGCTAATGGAGGGATGGGCTTGTCCATTTATGTTCCCGCTTTTTAAACACTGGGGACCTTGTACTTCACTTGGGACATGGGTTTTCCTGTCCTACTTCTGTTTCTGTCCTGGTAGGTTAAGCATCTAATCCACATGTATGTAGGATTGATATTAGTTTTGTCTCAGAAATTAGAAGATGCCTGCTTTGGTGATGTTTTGCATTTTGGAGGGTCTGAGGCTGAGGGAAATGTATTATCTTATTTCAAGGTTTGCAACCAGGTGGCAGGCACCTTGGGATGCTCTTAGGTCCTACCACAACTCAAATTTTGTGTGAGCATGGGGACACCGTGGAATGTTATCAACTGTTACACTACAAAGTTAATGTGCGAGTTTGAAAGTTGCATTTGGCAATTGTAATTGTCAACAATTTTTGTAGTATGAAAATTGTTTAGCACCCTTTCTGTGCACCTTTCGCCAAGGTATTGGAATCTAAGTCAACAATTTTGGACCTCGTAAATGTCTGAAAAATTGGTACCAGTAAAACGTGGCAAATTATGTGGAAAGAATGATGAATACTTCACTCTTTTTTTTTCCTCTTAGTGCTTATACTTGCATGCTAAGAAATCAGCATAAGAGTACAGCCTTTTAAAAGCTACACAATGGTATTTAGAAAATCATTATTTTTGACAAGTTTGCTGTTTGATGTCCAACAGTTCTTACCAAGGTTCACTCTTCTTAAGTGAAACCTACTCTGTGATATATCACACTAACAGCTGTCTCTATAATATCTCTAGTTTGCATCTATAACTGCTCAACTAACTTCATGCAGAACTAATATCCCAACTCATTTACCAAATGTATGCTAAGAAAATGCCTGCTGTTGGAGTAGAAAATTATTTCTATGTTGGAGAGCATTTTCTAACATTTTGTGCTGTTGTGCAGCTTCTTCTCTTAAGAAGTCAACAACAACCCAGAAAATGACTTCCAAATTCACATGGGACACCCATTTGCATGCAACAGATGGATCATGCACAACTTATGTTGTCCATGAACCCTGATGAAGGATCCCAGTGGGAAGGCAAGTATGGCTCAGAACAAGAGACAATAAGAAGCTTTTGGCATGAGAAACTGGGACAAGTGGAACCAGGAAGGCATTTTAACTTGTGGTAGAAGGGTATAATCCTGGGGGGACAAATGCACCACCATCTAAACTATAGCCCCCCTTCATCCCATTCACCAACTTAACCAGACTGAATACCCCCACAATTCTCCTTGACTCTAAGAATTGTGATGAAGAGTGTGTCAAGGTGGCTGGAAATCAGCAGAATGTTGGATAATGGCAGTATGTCTCACAGTCTAGTGAGTGAGGGTGACAAAGTTATAACTTTGCCCACTAAATCATTCAGGTTTATCCTCATGCCTCATCCAACTGGTCAAATCCTCTCTATTCATATGTTGTTCCAAATTGTTTTATTGTCCTAGACTAGTCTCTTGTCCACATGTAGTCCATGTGTGTGCACCAAATAGCCAGCCTTGCACAGTACGCATAGTAGATGATAAGAAATAATAAAAAATAAAGAGAAAAAAAACCTTTTAGTGGGTCAAAAATTTGAAGTGGGAGATATTGTTGTTGTAAGGTATGTCTCTGTAAGGTTTTCCAAGGTACACCAAACCTCTGATGCTACAACTCATGTAATATGAACAATTGCTAGGAATTTTGTAAGGCACTGTTCCAATCTTTTGAGGCTGTGCAAGCTGTGCCAGGTGGGGCTTTGAAGCAATGGAGGCAGGGGACTCTCCTTGGCTTTTGCAGCCAAGATTGTGGCCCATGTACATGAACATTGTCTTACCCATGAGGGGAAGGAGTTGCTTTAGCCCAGGCTTTCAGTTCTGGTCCCAACTTTGTGTTGCAGTTTGTCCCACAGATATGCTTTTTTTTTTTTTCCAAAAAATTCTGAGCATTTCAAGATGTATCACACAACCTCAACAATTTGACGCACTAATGTTGGCTTCAGAAGCCCTACAGTCCAAACAGCTGGACATCTTGCACAGGCACCCAACATCCACTGTATAAAGGAGTAACTCAGATATGGACCCATTAGAACCCCACACATATGTCTCACAGATGTAGGTGTAGAAGGGCTACAATTTGGAAGGTGTAGGGAATTTAGGACAGCCTTAGATAGCAAACACTCTTATCAGAAATGGGTAGTGGGTACAAGCTACGAAGTATACAAATATATATATATATATATATATACACATCTAATAAAGATTGGGGTGTTAGCTAAGGGAGGAGGGGGTGGCACAAAAGGCCAATTCCACAAATGATGAATGGGGTCCATGGGCCCAGATAGATGGGGGGGCATTGTGGGAGAAGAATCTCCATTGACAAAGCTTCAACTGCCATCAAAGGAGGCCACTATGGGGAGAGCCTATTCAAGCTGCCTTTCATCATAGCCATCATTGACCGCCCTACCTCCCTCAAAACCCTACACACCATGAAAATATTTGCAAGTCAAAGTCCCCCTTTTAATGAATTCTACTTTGACCCTCCTTTTCCTTGCCATGCTCTCAGGCTTCCTTCCTTCCCCCATTCCTTTGACAATGCCTCACATCATCATCCTCTGGGGAGAGTGAGCCCACCAACAATCCACAGCAGGATCTATTTCTCTTAGTGATTTTTTTGTTCAGTCACTTATTTTCATTTTTTAATTTATTTGTGTCAGATTATTTCTATCTTTTAGTGTATATATATATAAATATAAATGTGTGTTTGTGTGTATATGTATATATACACATCTCTCTCTAAATTGCCCCATGCAACCTGGTTATGATTATCAGTTTTGTTAATTGATGTTTTGGTACCCTCACAAATCAATGCTCAGAACACTTGATTGTATTGTTCTGTGGTTAGTGCCAATCATCTGGTGTTGTACACAATAGAATTTTTCAGATGGATGGAAGGGAATATTTATATACATGTTTAATTTTTTTAGTTTTATGTTTTCAAGTCTTATAAAGAATAAAGTGTATTAAGTAGTAGAACATTTTTACCAAAAGGTTTTTACTAAAAACATGAAAATTAAAATCATGATAACTTTAAAGTAGAAAATATTATATTTAATAGTAAGACATTTTTGAGTTGGAAGATCTCAAATATTGATACATTGATATCATGGATGACTCTAAATAAGATCCAACAGCAAATTGTGTCAATGAATTCTACGGTTTAAGAAAAATTTAATAAAAAATAAGTATGATATACAATTACATATATACAAAAAGAAATACTGAATTCTTTTATGAAAGTTAAATAACTTATAGTTTTTTTGGAAGTAAAAATATTTATAAAATTAAAGTCAAAATTTAGCAATGAATTTATAGAATATGGATTATTTGGGTTTATGTTTTTAATCTAATATTTTAATTTATGTCTTAATAAAAAATATTATTGTTTATTTATTTTCTTAATATTATGAAAATTAATAATTCTTTTTCAATATATGCATATACATTAATCATGTTGTAAATAATATACATATCTTTTACTTTATAATTACAAAACCACACATAGTATATTTAATAAAATTAAATATTCACAAAAAATTCTTAAAAAATATAAGATGTTATTTTTTATTATTAAAAATTTTAAATATATAATTAATTTATATATTTTTTTATTTATGAATTAAAATATTTTATTTTTTATTAATAAATAAATATAAAAAGACTAATTTAGAACTTAAATTTTTGAAATAAAAGGACCAAAGAAAGAATAATAGAAATAATTTATTAATGATTCTATTTTTTTTAAAAAAATCTATCTACTTATATTTACTTATATTTAATTAAATTATATAAGAGTCTTTTATTATATCTCATCTTGTAGGCAATAAATTCTACAAAGAGCAATTAAATTACTTCATAAGCTAATAAAGTCTAAGATTGTCACAAATATATATTTATTGTAATTATTATTTAAGTAATATGAATAGGTAGAAGTTGGTAAAAATAGATTAATTTCATAATATCTTCTAAAAAAGCTTTTTAGAAGATTTGTAGACATTGCTTTGACTTTGTATGTGTTTGTAGTTGATTGATAGGTTAGAAACTTGATCAACAAATTAACTACATGCCACAGATGTTGGTAGCTTGCAGAACAAGCTAACTATGTCGCATCCATATAGAAAACTTGTCTTGTAAATTAAGATATGTATTGTGCAAAGTCAACAAGTTTTGGAGGTCCTATAAAACATCACCATGTAACTCCTAGGTAGATAGTATGTATATATATATATATATATATATATATATATTTATATAGAGATAAGAATGAAGCCTTCTTTAGTCTTATTAATTCCTTTCTTGCTTCTAATCTAGTTTCAAGGAGTCTCTAGTTTTCTTGTCTTTTGGCAATAGCCATTCTAATTTCTTTTTAATATATATACTTCTTTATTTTTATTTTGTAATACTTCTTTAAAAAAGTCTCACTTGTTTATTTGTTTTCATTGAGTTCTTATCCTTGACAAATTAATAAGAGTAGACTTATAATATTTGAGATTTTTCTTTTCTTAATTAAGAGTAAATTACTCCTTTATCTTGATAAGACATAAGCATATTACAAGTTGCAGATTACCCTCTTTTAAAGTAATATTATTTTTTTTTGTTCTCAAGTTTTATTTTTTACTTATCTTAAGCAATATCAGACATTTCTTTTCTTCTAAAAATTATTATAGTAGAACTTATTGAAATAAAGAGCACAATGGCATAAATGTAAGAACAATTAAAAAAATTGATGCTTGTAATACATCAACTCAATTTATTATCACAAAAGAAAATGAGAATAATAGAAAATAGAGGTATAGAGATGATTGAAGTTGCTTCAACATCTGCACCAAAACATGTCTCTTCTCCTATGGTAGAACACCATTCAAGTACGAGAGAACTAAAAATTACCTTACTTAAAAAGATTGATGGTACAAGATTAAAATTTTGAAGATTTATCAATTAAATAGAACTAATAATGAAACTTCAACTCCAAAGCTATCTAAGTCTAAGATCACAAGTCAGGTTTATTAAAATTTTACTTTTTGATTTTATATTATCATAGTTTTTATCTTTTCTTGAATGATATGACCTAATATTGGATAATTTGAAAGCTTTCTTAGTGGAGTTTTGATCTATGTATAAAGAACATAATTCAATTCATGTCATGATAAATAAAATCCATATTTTGTAACAAAAAAATCAATCTGTAATATTACATACTTCACAATTTAGTCAACTTGTGATTGATATTAAGTGAAATGATATTGCACTCATTAGCTAATTTTTTTATGGATTACAATATAAAATAAAGAAATTGATGCTTAGTTTATGTGATCTTTAAATATTGAATCAAATAATTTATTTTGTTATAAAATATGAATTTACTTTTTGAATTTTGGCTTAAAAATTGCATAAGTAGGCCTCAATATTATTACAATTCAATGGCAATACCAACATCTTTTTAATATATACCTTCAAAAATAGAAGATATAAAAATTGATGCATGTCAAAGATATGAACTAGAAAAAGATGCATAAATTTTGAAAATCTATGTCAAAAGAAAAGTAAAAAAATAGTAATAAAATAGTTTTTATATTAAAAAAAATTGAAATAGCTATTGCCAAAAGACAAAGAAACTAGAGGCTCTTGAATCTAGACTAGAAGCAAGAAAAGAAATGATAAGAATAAAGAGGGCTTCACTCTTGCCTTTATATATGATATTTAAGTAAGAGCTATATAGCAATGTTCTATAAGACCTCTAATATGTCTTGACTTTGTAGGACATATGCTTTACCTTACAAAGCAAGTTTTCTAAGCGTATACAACATAGTTAGATTGTTTTTCAAGCAATCAACATATGTGGCACATGGCTAACTTGTTGACCATGTTTCTAACCTAAAAAATCAATTATAGATACTTATAAAGTCAAAGCAACATTTATAAAGTTTTTAAAAAGCTTTTATAAAAGATATTATGGAATTAATCTATTTTTATTTACTTGTATCTAATCATATAGGTAATTATTGGTTTACATGTATATGTCCATGACATTATCCTTCCTTCTAAAAACAAGTTCCATGAGAAGCGATCATCACATGTTAAAGAAATCTAAGATGTCGCAAATTATATTTGCTACATACTCTAATCTTTTTTTTCTTTGAAGATGATTGATAAGGCCTCTCAACTATTGATAGTCTCCCATATTAGGGTAGGAAGACCATCCAGTTATTTGATTATTGTTGAAACCTTCATAACTTCCTTCAAATAAAACATTCAAAACACTATCATGAGTTGTTCCTACTTCTAGTAAAATCACCAAACATTAAGAGTCCCTTCTATAGTCATGATATCAAATGTATTGTATTTTTTCATTTATTTGAGGAAGAATATATTATTTTTAAAAATATTCATCTCGATTACATCATCTTGAAAGTTGTAACAAATGTAATGTCTTATCTTACAGGTCAATAAAAAAAGATTCTTGAGTTGAATTTGATGGTTCTTGATTCTCCATCTCTTTAGTGTCACAAATACAAAACAGCTACAACAAGGATAGAAAGTCAAAATCTTATTTATAAAAAAGGTCTTTATGTTAATTTTGATGGATGTCATTGATGAAAAGCCTTCACCTTCTTTCTTCTATTTACAAGATTCTTTGCTGGCTTCCATGTGTATTTACTAATATCATATCCATGCCAATAGACAAGATATTTTAATTTATTTTGGCGTCGCCTTGAGTCTAAAACTTCTATTATTTTAAATTCTTCATTATTATCCACTTCTATAAGAAGAAGTTGAACTTATCTTCTTCTTAGTATATTCACAATCTTATATGATTCAAGAAGGACACATGGAAGACATGATAGATCTTCATTGACTCCAATAAATATAATTAATAAGCAACTGAATTAATTTGTCTACAAATAGGAAAAGACCCAAGCTTGCGGTAGTCCAACTTATCACAAAGACGAGTAGTCTTGATATTATGATAAAATAACCATATCTTGTCACCTACATTAAATTACAATTATCTCTTTTGATAAGCATCTGCATTGATCTTTTTTCATTCTTGAGCTTCTTTTAATTGCTCCTTTATTGTTGCATTTAGCTCAAACAAACAATTTGTCAAATCTTCTACTGCAAGATTATCAACTTTTGAAAAGTAAAAAATATCAAATCATAGATGATAACCATAAAGAAAGGTGTTTGTTGCATAGAAGAATACACCATATTATTGTAATCAAATTTTATCAATGACAAGACAGTTCTTCAATCGTCTTGTTGATAATTGATAGTACATCTTAAACATTGCTCCAAAACTTAATTTACACACTCTGTCTGTCCATCAATTTAAAGATGAAAAGCCAAAGAGAGCTTTATGTCTATCTTTAAAATCTTAAAAAGAATTCTTTAAAATCTCGATATAAATTGAATTCTCCTATTT